GGGTATCAGAATAGATCTTTTCAACAAACCAGCACGAAGCCCCAGGTTTGCAGGTCAGAAATAAAAAAGGCAAGATGAAAACCTCTCATCTGAATGGTAGTTTAGCTAAAAATAAATTTCTACATTCAAAATTATTTGGCCTCATAAATTTGAAAATACTGATTAAATTGTCCTCCAGGTGATGCTGGTTTTATCCTCCATGTTTCTTGACTTTCCTCTCATAATTTCTTTGTGTTTGTTTGTTTTTGTTGGCCTTTTATACTTCATGCTGGGACAAGCCAGCACAGATTTTATTTTCAGCAGCATCTTTTCAATAATTTGTCTTGAGTTTTTAATACCAGTGTGAATATTTTAAGATCTTTAATGGTTCTTTTTTACATCAGCCCATAAAATGTTTTGCAAATGTTATTTCTTGTCTAATAATTCTTAAAATATGAGTTATGTTTATTTTAAAGTCTTTCTTTTCCATATTTCCTGTTTTTCTGTTTCCTTGTGTGTTCGTTTTTCAGTTTATGCAAATTACCTGCATTTTAATAATGTTTATATTTCCCAAATATTTGGTGATTTTTGAAGTTGTGCTTATCTTTCAATTGACAAAAAGAATAACCTAGAAGTTCCAAGAAATTTTAAGTATAAAACCAATTACCCATAGAGAAAAAATAATCCTAGTATCATCAGACTTCTTAACAACACTGAATATCAGAAGAGAGAGAAGCAGCATCTACAAAGTTCTGAGGCAACACTGAGTGGGATCTAGACTTCCAGCTCCAGTCCAACCTATGAAGAAAACCAATGCCAAAAACATTAAAATTATATAATTAATATTAATATTTTCAAAAATATTTGTAAGAAATCACGTGCATTAAAAATGCTAAGAAAAATAGTTAATGACTTGAAAATTTTAAAAGCATGTTTGCTATAATTTAAAAGACATCTCAATATATGGACAACATAGCATAATAGAGTTGAAGTCTGAATTTATTATCTAAACAAGCTGAGAGATTCCCAGAATGAATCAAAAAAGGACAAAAAGATGGAAAATCTGAG